TGGCCAAGCCCCAAGCACTGCGCATTTAGGGAATGAACCAGGGGATACAGATCAAATATACAAAAAATTTAAAGAATCCTTAGCTTTAAAATCACTAAGCCAACTTATTAATCACATCCCCTCCTATTTTTTAGAGTCAAAAAGTTAAACTTAGGAAGTTCTTTGTTTACATCTATATGGTGGCTTTGTGATATCAATACTACTAACAGCTTGGACTACAGCTCCTGGAGTTCCTTCCCAGTGTGCTTCTGGTCAGGGTAAGTTCCAAGTGATATTCTCTCCTGAGGGTTGGCAGATGGAAGGTAGGCAGCAGTTATTTTGTAATGTACACACATCTTCTCCCATTCTATTCAGTTACACACTAAACTAGGTGCTGCTAACAGGAATTTTGCATCTATGATGTTCCTAACCAGTTGACTTTAAATTTATCAAAAGCAAGGTTAGTCCAGAAGGGCCTCTCCTAATCTCTTGGAAGCCCTTTCAAAAAGAGCTTAACCTTGTTTGAACAGACAGACTCCAATGGCAGCTGTACCCACAACTGCTTTCCCTTCCTAAGCATATTCCTGGAACACTTTCCCGGGGACAATGAGCGGCTTCCAGCCTACCCATTATCATTCCTTTCTGATTGTGTTCCCTGTGGGGTTTGACCCTGTTCAACCAGCTCCCACAATTATCTAAACCAACTCCTCATGATAAACCCACACAAGTAAACATACAGGTACACAAATGTTCAATCTGACTGAATTCCAATATACATGTGTTCACACTGTGCCTCACCTACTGCTACAGATTCACTTTTACAACACAAAGACTGAACACTGCAGAAGAATTTTAAATGAAGATCAAACAATATCCTTGTTAATTTGGGCTAAAACAAAATACCACGCACTGGGTTGCTTAGTGAGCAACAGAGATTTATTTCTCAACAGCTCTGGATGGTGGGAAGTCAGATCAGGGCGCCAATATGCTTGGGTTCATACACAGTGCCTCTTTACTGTGTCCTCACATGATGGAAGGCTCTAAACAGTTTTTTTCTTAAGAGAACAAATCCCATTCATGGGAGTTCCATGCCAATGCCCTAATTATCTTCCAAAGACCCTACCTCCTAACCCATCACATTGGAGAAAATGCTTCGAACAAATGAATTTTAGGGAGACACAGACCTTTAAGACAATAGCAAATGTTTTTCTTTTTTCTTCATTTTCACTACTCATACTTAGAACAGCACTACGGGTTTGGTGCTTTGGGAAATACTTTTATGGAAGCACTGTATTCCTTTCTTGTGCTTCAAATAACTATTTTCACTATATCACCTAATCCTGATTTATACACTGGCTTGGTGTTGCCCTGACCAGCTGCACATAATCAGCAAGTCTTATATTTGCTCATGAGAGTTCAGGATTTTTATGACTAGCATCAGCCTAGAGATGACATCCTATTTATTTCCTTTATTTGTTATCACTTGTGATTTGTTAACACACACATATACAAACCAAAAAAAAAAAAAAAATCACCAGATTAGCCAAGGACTTAAGTATTCTGGGCCTGCTGCAATGGCTTAGTAGCTAAAATCTTTGTCTTGCAAGTGCCAAGATCCCATATGGGCACCGGTTCGTGTCCCAGCTGCTGCTAGTAGCCTGGGAAAGCAGTGGAGGCCCAATGCCTGGGGAACCCGTGCCCACATGGGAAACCTGGCAGAAGCTCCTGCTACTTGCGGAGTTAACCAGTGGACAAATGATCTTTCTGTCGCTCCTTCTCTTTGTAAATCTGCCTTTCCAATCAAAATAAATAAATCTTTAAAAAAGAAAACCTGAAATGTTGTGAAAACCTTCACTGAGACTTTGTTCTGAAGAAACAATCACGGTTGTGTTTAAATCATTGATTTTAGCACTGATCACAAGAGCAAAGGTTTAGAACACCTAAAAACAATAAATGAATTGAACACAATGGTTTAATTTTTTGTTCTTTAAAACTGTAAAATAATGTAGCAGAAAATTCTATTGACTCCTAAAAAGTATGCACAGTATACTACACTTAAAAAGCAGGCTACAAAAATAATATGTTCAGGGAAAAAGTAGCTGTGTTTTTGTAACTCAGTAAAATATAAATGCATCCTAAAATGACAATCTCTCATTTAACATTTCTAAGTTGTTGGATTAATGGTAAATTTTTTACTTTATTCTCTCCTGTTAAACAATCTGAGTTTAATATTGTAATGCAGGCCAAATTCCAGTAGCTTTTATAGTGAATGTTTAAAATTAGTGGCTTAGAATAGGAATTCCTCACTAGCTCTTGAGGATGCCAAACAGATTCTGAGTGAAGAGATGGTCGATAAAACCCCTGAACCTGGTCACAGTGCTGGGGCCTAGCAGCCAAGGTCCTCGCCTTGCATACGCCAGGATCCCACATGGGTGCTGGTTCTAATCCCGGCAGCTCTACTTCCCAGCCAGCTCCCTGCACCTGTGTAGGAGACCTGGAAGAGGTTCCTGGCTCCTGGTTTCAGATTGACACAGCTCCAGCCATTGCGGCCACTTGGGGAGTAAATCATTGGACGGAAGATCTTTCTTTCTGTCTCTCCTCCTTTCTGTATATCTGACTTTGCAATAAAAATAAATCTTTAAAAACAAGACAAAAAAACAACAAAAAACCCTGAACCTACAAATAAAACTACATAGATAGCTTTCTCTCTCTCCCGTGTGTGTGTACGCACACATGTGTGCCTGAATGGGAAGAAGAAAGGGAAAGATTCACCATTTTCATCGATTTCTACAGAGATTCATGATGCAGACAAGACTAAAATAATCAATACTGAAGTCTCGTCCTTATTCCAATTGCTTTCACGTAAGGAACAGAGCATTACTCAATAAACTGCAGGACAGAATTTGCAACAGGAATGTTCAGTCTCAATTCATGTATTTTATATATGTGAAAGCTCCTGCATCTCAAAACAAAACTTGCAAAACTCCCTCAAAAAAGAAACGACAAATATTGGGATATAATTTCTGAAACAATCCCTGGAAAATAATTTCTGCTAAGTCTTCCGGAGTTAGGATAATACTTTACATGAACGTTTTGATACTGTGCTCTTATCTCCTCCCTTCTACCCTCATGCATCCTGAGAAAATGTCAAGACATTATTCAATGCCATTGTCTGGGAATGGAATTATCAATCTTTATCTTTTAATATATATATATTCATTTATTTTCATCTACTAGAAAGGCAGACTGACAGTGAGTGAGGGAGAGATACATCTCTCAACCACTGGCTCAACTCCATTCTCCCCAAATGTGCCAGGGCTGAGCCAGGTGAGACCAGGAGCCCAGAACTCCATCTAGATCTACAAATTGAGTGGCAAGGGCCCCAACACTTGAGCCATCATCTGTTTCCCATGATGCATGACCAGCAAGCTGAATCAGAAGCACAGCAGTCAAGATTTGGGTCCCCAAAGCTGTGGCTTAATCAGCTTTACCACAATATCCAGCAAGCATCAGTCTATATTCTGGGATAAAAACACATACTGAAAGAGAACTTTGCTAGAGAGAAGTGTCATTCCTATTTTTAAAACAATGAACTCTTTGGTAAATATCAAATACATGCCACGCTTCATTAAAGATTTTGCATTTAAAAAGACACCAAGACTGAATTAGGAATTCTGCTTTACATCCCTTGGAATCTTAACATTATACTGGTATCAGTCAGTTTTGTGCTGCTATGACAGAATACTACAGACTGGGTAACTTATAAACAATAAAACTGTTTCTTCCCAGATCCAAAAGAGGGAAGACCAGGATCAGGATGTCGCATCAGGGCCTTCTTGCTGTGTCAAAACATGGCAGTGGATATCATGTGGGAGAGATGGCTGCATTAATCTACTTATGAAGGCAGGGTCTTTATAAACTAATTACCTCTTACAAGGCACCAGCTTTCAACACTGTGTCACGGAAGATTAAGTTTCTAACACAGAAATGCGGTGGATTCCTATCCAGGCCTGGGCTACCTTTGGCCTCTGGGCTGCAGGTGGTGGTGCAAGACATGGCAGCTTTGGGTGAGGGTAACGTGGGAGGTCGGGGATCTCCAACCCTGCATCCTGGGTGGCAACTCTGAGCCTACAATGCACCGAGAAGCTGAACTAGCTGCATGGGCCACTGAGCCTGAGTCAGGGGACCCTGTGCAGCTCCCTGGAGCCTGAGGATGGCAAGGACCTGAAGGACATCTCTGCCACTCACTAACAGCAAAGGAGTGCTATGCTATCAGGTAGCTTTGGATATATCACCTCTTCCTAAGTGTCGCAGATGGCGACACGCCAGGGATCAGGTCTGTCAGCTGCAAGGTGCAAGCTTTCCTATTCAGGATGCTGGGATTGTCAGGTAGCTTGGCTTTGTGGACATGCTTGAATAATATGACTGTGAAAACATGACAGCTGAAGACAATTGCCACACTTTTTCATCCTCCACTGACACTTTATAAACCAATACTGGTGACAGTGCCCCAAGGTCTACCAAGGGACATCAGAGATGCACTCAATTCCAGGCAAGAAATACAGAAGACTGTCCATAACTTGGAAAGTGGACTAGATGAGAGCAGATATCCACTGGGGCTGGCACAGTGGCACAAATGAAGCTGCTGCCTGTGATGGTAGCATCCTTTACGTGAGCACTGCTTCAATTTCTGGCTATTCTGCTTCTGAAATTGTTCCCTGCTAATGAGCCTGGAAAAGAAGCAGAAGATGTCCCGAGTGCTTGGGCCCTGCCACTACATGAGAGACCTGTATGGATTTTGGCTGGCCCAGCCTGGCCATTGTGGCCACTTAGAAAGTAAACCAGCATATGAAAGATCTTCTATCTCAATCTCTTCCTTTCAAGTAAATAAATACATCTTTATAAAACACACACATAAACATAGACAAAAGTGCAGGAGAAGTATGTGCAAAATACTCAAATAATTAATAAAGACTCATAACCAATCAATAGGAAACTATAATTGAAAACTTCTAACTTACTGTTCATGGAAATCCAGCATTGGTGGCTCAAATCGTATGGGCCTACAGTTCCCACGGTACAAAGATATACTGAAAGTAAAAAGAAAATAGTGTAAGATGCAATTCTTCAAAATGAATATTTTCTCAAACTGCATCACCTGACAATTATTAGGAGAAAGTACTTTCAAGAAAAATAGGGTCCAAAGTTGCACTGGGAATGTGACTTTCATTTTTCTAGTAAAGGAAACCAAAGAATGCTGGGTCTTTAAAAATGAAAATATAAAAAGGAAGCACTTCTCCTATTTAAAGGTATATGAAAATAGGGAACACTCAATCTTCATTTGGTTAGTAAAATTGGTAACAATATACTTCAATATGTTCCCTTAGGTTTTTTGATATATGATGATCAAATTACAATTTGAATACAACACATACCTGGCAGACAACACATAAAGACCATTACAATCACATTGCAATTAGAATGGCAAAGTATCAAAAAAACCCACAAAAATTATAAATTGTTGGCATATAAATTTCCAAGCAATGAAGTATCTGTTTAACCTAAAAATGTGGGATACAATGATCTAGGATGCCTTGGTCAGAATATTTGACTATCACTTGTAACTATCCCACTTGATACCAGAACCTTTCCATACAACAAATTTCTGAATAGCAAATCTCAGACATCATTATTACCTAATACTGATGTGAAATATAAATGACCTTTTGGAGAGAGTGTGTTCACATACTTAAAAGGTAGCTGTTTATATAATGAGAAGGTCAAGCATTCAATCAGCCACTGAAGTTTTAAAATAGTACATTTTGATCTATTTTAAGAAATGATGTTATAGCACAGCCCATTTTGTACTCTACTTTATTTCCATCACCACTGCAACTTAGAGGAACACACTTCCAAATAATACAGTAACTTCATTCAGAAGACAAAGGAAATAGGTAAGGACATCCACAAAATACAGAAAATCTCGTTTTAGATCAATTCTGTAAAGAGGAGTAAGTCTGAGTAGTAGAATAACTCAGCTGAAAGAATAAAACCCAAACAAGCTTGTAGCTCTTATCAATCCAGAGTATGTGGTGCTGAAACACCTTTACCCATAACTAAACAGAAGAAGTGACACACACACAAAGAAGAAAACACCAAATTTAAAGTTACATTTGACTAAAGCATGAAACTAGAGAAGACAACAATTTGGCAAAGCGGCTGCCACCTACAGCTAATACAGAATCTCTGCCTTCCTGCTTTCTACCTTGTGTAGATACGAACATGGTTCTTCTAAAACATGATGCTGTTCAGCTCACCAGTTTTAATAGTATACAAACTAAACTTAAAATCTTATTCAAACCAAGAACAAAAATGTGGAAGGATTACAGAGTTTGTGGGAAAGTGTGATTAAAAGGGAGTTCACTGTGGTGCAGAAAACCTTGAAATTCTATAGTTTCCTCATAATATGCATCTTCCATGAACTTTCTGAAGACTCCTCATTTCATGGACTTCAAACTATTTGCACCACATTGAATTTACCTTTTAATTCCCATGAACTAACCACATAACAATTATTATTAATTCACATACATGAACATGGATTGCATCATATCCTGAAGATATAAATACAAAAAAGACTAACATACAGCATTTTTCTTTTATCAGAATAGAAATTTTACTCCACAAGTTCTAACAGAAATGTCTAAAGTGACCATGTAGGGTAAAGAAGTGCACATTCATTCAAACCAAATGTCCTGGACACAGGCTGTGTGCCAGCCACTGGTCTGGTGGCTGGAACTACACATAGCAAAGTGCCTGTTTTCACGGCAGGACCATCCCAGCGGGGAGGACAAAAGTAGGATCTAATAGGTGATGGTATGTGACGTGATTAGAACAGAGACGGCCTCTCTCAGGAGGGATGCTGCAGCTGAGACAAAACTGGGACAATCAAGTAGGAATGGACTTGGCAAGCTGAGAGATAAAGAGGCTGAGAGGGCGGGGGAGGGGAGGGTTGGGTTGGGTTGGGTGTGAGGTCAAAGCTAACAGGGCCAAATCTCCTTGTAGGAGTTAACACGTTAACAAAAACCTCTACAATTTTAAGCAAGGAAGTAACAGGATCAGATGCATTTAAGAATGTCAATCCTAGCTTCTATGAAGAACAGTTTGCAAGAGCAGAGCAGAATCAGACAGCTCATGCAGTGGTTTAAGCAGTAGAAGAGACTGCGAGGGAGAATGGTGAGGAGTGGCTGCTTTCTGACTATATCTGGAAGCTACAGAGAACAGGTAATGCAGAAGGAATGATTTGGAACACTGAGAAAAGACAGGAGCCAGGCCTTAGTCTAAGATTTTAATTGGATATTCAGTTGTGACATGGGGGGAATGGGATGCATGCAGGGAAAGATAGATGGGACAATGTGCAACAGTTCTATATTAGACATTTAAAATTAACATACTTTCTAGATGGGGATATCAAGTAAGTAGCTACTGATTTGGGGTTCAGTCACTCTGGTAAGTCTAATTCTTTTAAGATGGTCCACTATTGCCACAGACACTGCCAAATGGAACACCATCTGGGATGCTCACTGTGGAACACCAGCTGCAGGTTGCACAACTTCTTCCTTTCAACTACTTTGAATTTATTTTATTTTTTTATGCCTTGTGCTAAGCATTCCTATAAAATGCTCCACAGGAAGTGGCACCAGTAACTGTTACTCTGATATGAAGGATATTAATTCAGAAAAGATGATTCCCTCATAAAAAATGCATATTTTCAAAATATCAGTAAATCTTTATCTAATAAAAGTTTAAAATTTGAGCAGATCAATACAAGCTGACAGAGGTAGGAACTAGTCTCAACAAAACTAGAAATGCTGTTACAAACCAGTCAGGTATGCAGAGATTATGGAAATGGCTGCTGCCACATTTAGAAAGGGTGTGACACCAGTTAGTAATATTGTAACAGAAAGCAAATGTTTGCAAATACATGGTACTGAAAAATAAATTGAGGAAGAAACAATATGAAGAACGGTACCCATTTTGCCAATTTCAAAGCAACAGGTTTGAATTCAACTATAATGCAGGCTTCCCTGCTTTCTGTAGTGACTCTGTATGTTCTGGAGTCACAAAACAGTTGTAAAATTTTCACTAAAGGAGTCATTATTTATTTGGTGAAATCTTGTGAGAATCAGTCTATGCTGTGTGGTGAACTGAAGGTGAAAGTTAGGCAGGTAAGTGCCAAATCATGCAAGACTTTCTTGGCGCTATGGAAGTTTGTGCAAGCTAGTAAACTGAAAAGGTTTTATTTCTATGGTCCAGTTAGTACCTAAGTAACGGGTATTTTGGTCAGTTTTCTTTAAAGAATAGTTTGGAGGGCTGGTACAATGGCTCAACAGGCTAATACTCTACTTTAAAGCCTCAGCATCCTATATGGCACGAGTTTGTGTCCCAGCTGCTCCAATTCCAATCCAGCTCTCTGCTTATGGCCTGGGAAAGCGGCAGATGACGGCCCAAGTCCTTGGGACCTGCACCTATGTAGGAGACCAGGGGATATCCTTGGTTTTGCACTGGCTCAGCTCTAGCTGCTGTAGCCAAATATAATTTATATACATCACATGGTTTATAGCCATAACCACCCTCCTCCTTCCTATCCAACCTGGGGTCTCTGATGTTTGTTTCTTCCCTTATGTAAGACATTAAGCACAACATTGAAGACAGAATAGGCATTCATGTCATTTTCCTAGTCTTAGACAGCATTCAATCTTCTGTCGACAAGTGTTATGTTACTCATCACATTTCTACATTGTGCCCTTTATCAAGCTGGCAAAATTCTTTTCTGTTCATACTTTGTTACCTATACATTTTAAATTATGAATATTGAATTTTATCATACGTCTTTTTTACATCTACTCACAATTTTATGTAAGGATTTTTACCAAAGAAAAAGTATACTGGGTCCAGCACTGTTGCATAGCACATTAAGCCTTCACTTATGGCACCGTATCCCATGTGGACACCAGTTTGAGCCCCAGCTTCTGATCCATCTCCTTGCTCATGAACCTGGGAGGGCAGTAAGAATGGCCCAAGTGTTTGGGTCCTTGCATCCTTGTGGCAGACCCAGAGGAGCCTCTGAGCTCCCAGATTCAGACTAGCCCAGTTCTGGCTGTGGTCATTCGAACAGCAAACCAGTGAACAAAACATGTCTTTCTCTTTCTCTCTCTACTTCTCTCTGTAACTCTGCCTTTCAAACAAAAACTCAATCTTTAAAGAAAAAAATCTTGCTGATTGATTTTCAAATGCTAGTCTTATTTTACAAACCCTCTCTTGGTTATGATTATTATCCTTCATATATTTTTAATTTTCTATTTTGCTAAGGATTTCTGGACAGATGCTCATGAGAGATAGTTTCCAGCTTTCTTGTAATGCTTGCAATATCTTCTCATGAAATCCAAGGATATCACCCTCTTTTCTTGCCTTTTTTTGTGTGTGTACAATTACTATCTTTCTGTATTAAATGTTAAGCATCTGATAGAACTTGCCAGGATATAAATAACAAAGCTGACCCCATTCATAAGTAGGAAAAAAATAATTTAAGACTACACTGTGACAGAATTTCTTACCTACCAGACTGACCAAAGTTCAGAAGCATTGCTCATTCTGTTGGAAAAGCTGTGGGGAACAGTCATTTTTATTAATTGATCGAAGGTATGCAAATTGGCATAATCATTTTGAAGAATAATTTGTAACAACTAACAAAATCCGATACACATTTACTTTTGAGTCTCTATTTCTACTTCTAGGGATTTATACTAAAAGAGCACTATCTATCTAACCCACCTATTTGTTTGATAAATAAAAATTATACATACACATGGTGAAAAACATACTTTAATATATATATGTACACACACCCCATAATACAGCTGAATCTGGCTAATTTATTCATTACATCACAAATAATCATTTATAATGCTGAGAACATTTAAAATATAGGCAACTGTCAAGTCTACAATATATTGTTATTAATTAGTTATCATGTCTATAAAATAAATCTGTTGAACTCATTCTTCCTAAGTAAATGAAATTTTGGGGTCTGTGACTAACATCTCCTCAACCCAGATATGCTCATCCCATCACTGCTAACTCCAATTCTGCCCTTTGTTCTGACGGGTTCAAGTTTTTGCAGCTAAGTAAGAGTACTGGGTATTATTAATCTTTTTGTGTGAGACTCACTTCAAGTCCACACAGGATCCATAACATTTGCCTACACAAATTATAGGACCTCCTTTTAAAACTGCAGAGTATTCCATTGTACATACATCGCAAATTGTCTTCACCTTTGTCCACAGAGGGGATACCTGGTTGATTCCACACTCTGGCTATAATAAAAATGCTGCCGTGGAAGTACATATATCTCTTGGACCCAGTGGTTTCATATCTTTTTGGGATATATTCTTGGCAGTAGGACTGCAGGATAAAACAGTAACTTTCTAATTTTCTGAGGAACCTCCACACAGCTTTTTAAATTTACATTCCCACCAACTAAGTACCAGGCTCTCCTTTTCTCCTTAGTCTCACATATATCAGTTATCTCATCTGTTTGTTAAGCCATTTTTAACAGATGTGAAGTGATATTTCATTGTCATTTTAACTTGCACTTCTCTGATGACCAACACTGACACAGCTGTTGACCATCTCTATGCATATACTTTCAACAACACAAATTACACCTGCACTTATCTTTTGACTTAGTGGTATCTATTGAGGGCATTTACCTTGAAGATCATTTTCAAAATATTCAAATATATGTAAGGGGCTATTCTTGAAGCACTTCTTGCAAAAGCAGAATTTTAGAAAGTAAAATGTTTAAACAAAAGACAATGGGTTAATCATACCATAAAGCATATGCACAAAATGGAGATAAAAATCCCAAATGGGATACAGTCAAAAACAAATGAACCATATATTATTTCAATATGTTTAACTACAATGAGAATAAAATAGAAAGAAGACATAAGGGAAGGGGAAGTACAAAGGGAAAGATGAAAAACATTAAAGCCCATGTCAATCTGAAACACAGCACACACACATATATATATTATTCTATATTACATTATATTGATAGAATAGAAAGAATTTTAGACAAGTACTTTATTGTAATTAGTAGGTCTTGTTTTGATGATAGTACGGATTAACAATCCTAAAAATAATTTATCCAGAACTTAGGAGCTGTGCAAAGCATGTATATACTGCAGATAACTGGAATCAGATTTCTTATTGTTAGAGGACAGAAACAGAAAAGGAAAGGTCAGACAGAATACCAGTTTTGTATTAAAACTGGAGTTACCAGTAACAACTCAGGGCTTTTTATATACTTGTATAGATAGTGCATATGGACACATATATGTAAACAAATTTTTCCTAATTTTTTCACTTAAGAAGACTGAAGAGAATGGCGCCTCATTAGCAATGACACCCCCCACAGAAGTGAGTACATAGGTACACAGATCCTAGGTTCCAATAGCATCTTCTACTAAAATAGAACAGGAGTCTTCATTGAAATGAACTGCTCCAGAGTTGAAGGAAAGAAAATTACAAGCCTAGAACATCTTCATATGCCACAGAGTACAGAAGGGCTCAATGAGGACATGTGAAAAGACACACATCGTATCCAAGGACATGGGATTTTTTTGATGACAGTGAAAAATGATGGTAAAATAACTGGATAAAAGCAAATTTTGATCTTTACCTCCCAACTTCTAGTAGAATTTCAGTTAATAAAAATAGAATGGCAGGATTAAAGAATAATTGTAACAGCAGTAACTGTTTTAGGCAAGAACCATTAAGACATATTACATCTAATGAGAGAAGGTACTTATACAATCTTAAAAAGATACTTATAAGTTACTAAAGAAAGATGGAATACATAGCACGTACTTCCTCAGAGGCTCAACGGAGAAGGAAACAAACTTCAGTAATATCTGCATTAAAAAAGTATAATCTGAATTGAATCATGAGGACATATGAGAAAATCCAAACTGGGGCAATCTACAAAATAGGTAGCTTCTAATATTCAATTATATTAGATGTTCTATATTAAAGTAGACCCCGAAGAAACATGAAAATTAAGGGCAAGGGCTTGAGCATTGGACCAAAGATTGTTTAACGGGACAACTGACAAAATTTAAAAGTCTATGGATTAAGAAATAGTTAGGGCCAGCACTGTGGTTCAGTGAGCTAAACTAAGGCTTGTAGCACTGGCTGGCATCCCAGTTCCAGTCCTGGCTGCTCTACTTTCTATCTGGCTCCCTGCTTTCGTAGCCAGAAGGACAGGAGGATGAATCAGGTACTCGGAACTCTGCCTCTCAGGTGGGAGACAGATGGAGCTCCAGGCTCCTAACTCGAGCCTGGACCAGCCATTTGAAGAGTGAACCAGCAGAGAGAAGACAGAAGATTTCACAGTCCCTGTCCATCTCTATCACTCTTTCAAAAAAAAAAAAAAAACAATTGGGACACTACACAAAAGTTATGGAAAATCAAGTTAAAAGTTCAGTTTAGTACAAACAATTTTGAAATCTGTGCTTGGCCTTTTTTTTTTTTTTTTTTTTTTTCAAAACAACCATGTTCCATGAAAACTTTTTAAGACAATATAAATAACGGTTGAATAAAATACTTTTAAAACACACTGTAAAATAATTGGGGTTTTAAATCTGTGAAATGGGCTCCCTGAAAACTCCAGTAATATCAGTGCCAGCATACTACTGTTACACAAGAACACTCACTAGAACTGGTCCGAGGCCTTGGGCAGTTGTTCCTGTTGACCAGAATTGCAACTCTACTACTGTTCTAGGCTGTCATACCTTCTAAGCTAAACTTTAAATCTATGGTTCTCTGGGGGTGGGGCGGGGAAGGGTAAAAGGGTCAAAGCCTAGAGAACATGAAACAGCTGCAGGAAGGACTAGTTACATAACACAAAGACAGCTCTCAACTCGCCTGCAGGAATGAGGCACAGCCTCTCATGGGACATGAGAAGGCAATCGGGCCAGCCTCTTCCTTTTACTCTGCCTTGTCTTGGATGTGAAAAGGTACCAAAAGAACAAGAAACATGCAGTGGTGAGCAGGGAGATTATCTTCACACACGTATATATTCGCTGGAAATATAACAAAGCCCCACCCCCACCATCATAGGGAAGCTGTGTCTAAACGGTTTTTGAGGCACAGACTGCGTTTCATGGCTCTGAGTGTCTCTAGGACTCTGCAAGCAGCCCTAGTAACTGAGGGTGGGTAGCAGTGATCAGGCCACAAGAGGCAGGGAGCCCCAAGGGAAGTCACCAAGGCTGCTGCTCTTACACAGCAAGGAGACCTGAGCTCCAAGGACAAGCCCTGGGAACAAGGCAGCGGAGGGATGCCACACACTGCACCACATGCAAATTCAGATTTAAGCCATGATGCCATACACAATATGTGGAAATACATTTTACAGTATGATTTATAATTTGTTGTTCCCTTTTTGCCAAAAATAGTAAAGGGGAAAGAGAAAGGGAGAACCACAGGAATCCCCCAGAAGGAACTGAAAGAATGTTAGTATCTTACCAAATTTACAAGCCTTACCTTTTTTGTTGATATGAACTGAGTCCAAGTGTTGTCTCAGTCTGTAAAAGGAACAAAATAATGATGAAAATATTAAAACTAATTTTTACAACTACAGACATATGAGCTAACCAAAACATTTTACTGTACTTTCAAACTCAGATTTTAAATTCACTTAAGCTTCCAAATTAAACCTAATCTCAGAATCATACGAACTGACTGGACACACTTCATAATTTAAGTGGTAATCATTTAAACACATGTGGAGGTAACGCAAGGTAGTGCAGTTGAGCTAGACAAGTCTGCTAAGCTAGTGTAACCTGTGAGAACAGTAGTCTTTCGATCACTTTGTGAAGCCACACGTGCCTCTGGCTGTTCATCTCCAACCAACAGTATGTGCCAGAGGCTGGTGCCCAGCTCCCCATGGCAACAGAGCTCCAAGAAGAGTGGGAGAGGGGGCGGGACCGTCATTTATGAACTAAATACAGATGTGGACATCTGAAAAGGCCTTTGAAAATGTTACAGAAGTCTTGTGGAATGGACATGCATAGGTGAGAGGCTTGACTAAATAGAGAACATTTACATTAAAACCTGAATGGTGAGAAAAGAGCTGTGGAGGGACGGGGGAGGAGGTGAGGTATGGGGAACAGTGCGAGCATGGCCCTGGTATGGGAATGAGCATACTGGGTTCAAGAAACAGAGAGCAGGTCAGCCTGGCTGCTGAAGGGCAGAGAGAAGAGTAGGAGAGGAAAAGGGGGGCTTGTAGCCTAGGAGGAGGCCCAGAGGCTGGCTTATACAAGGTTTCACATGGTACACTCTAATTGCAACACAAGGGATCTGAAAGAGAAAGAGATGACATGATCAAAGTTTTTTAAAAATGTTCCAGCTAGATTAGAGGAGAGCAAAAGAAGTAGGAGGAAACTGTCAAGAACTGCTGGAGTTCAGGTGATGGAGTCACTGCAGTTCCCACTGATGCAGCAGAAAACACCAGCACTCTACAGCACACACTGGTGAAGCTATCCCAAACGCTAGCTGCTACACCAAAATTCTAAAAACAGGACTAGTGTGGCATTCCCTCCCCATTAATGAATATTATTTTGAAATGGCAGTTTTGAGAAGATATAGTCAGAAAAACATGTATGTATGGCAGAAATAGAAAAATGCCTTTTTCTCCCACATGGATGCAGGAACCCAAATATGAGCGCTATCACCTGGCACCTCCCAGAGTGTCCATCAGCAGGAAGCTGGAATTGGAAACGGAGCTGAATGTCAACCTCTATATTTACCTTTTTAATTTCTTTTTTGTTGTTGTTGTTCACAAACCTATGGAAGTTCCCCCTGTCTAAACATAACCTTATGAAATACAGAATATAAAAGTACAGCAGAGAAAAATTAAAAAAGTAAAAGATATTAAAGACGTTACTAGTAACTTAAAAAAGAAAAATGACTTTTAAGGTTCATATGCAATAATGTATAAATGGATCTGTAATTTTTAAAAACTATTTAAGTGATACAACAGTGTGTACAGATAAAGCAACAGAAAAATGTTAACTGTCAGGTCTAAGTGATAAGTGAGTTGGGTATTCATGAATTCATATTTTCCATACTAAAAAATAATTTCTTCTTTAACTTTTCATTATGGAAAGTATATCCAAATCATGTATCAGATAATAGATTCATACCTAGAATCTATGAAGAACCACAACTCAGTAATAAACAGTAACAATAAAAAAACTAAACCTGAGTTTAAAAAAAAAGGCAAAGAAAACAAGAAAAGATACTTAACAGGGGACTTGTTTAGCCTATTGGCTAACCTTCCAGTCAAGACATCAAAATCCCATATTGGAGCATCTGGGTTCGAGCTCCAGCTCTGGCTCCCGATTCCAGCTGCCTGCTAACACATACCCTGGGAGGCAGTAGTGATGGCTCTACCAGCCATGTCAGAGACCTGGAGACTGAGTTCTTTCCGAGCTCTTAGTTTCATCCTTGCACAGGCCATGGCTGTTGGCTGACATTTGGGAATTAAATCAATAATTGGGAACTTGCTCTTGTTCTTGCTCCCTCTCTCTCCTCTATTTCTCTCTCCCAAATAAATAAATTCAGAAAAGATGTTCAACATTCCTAACTACTAAGGAAAAGCACATCAAAACCACAATGATAATACTTTATAGCCAATTGGATGGCTATTATTTAAGAAAAACAATAAAGCAGAAAATAAAGAGTTGGCAAGGATGTGGAAAGACTGTTGGCAAGAAGGTGAAATGGAGTGGCACCTACAGAGATTATAGAATAGTTCTGAAAAAAATTAAGCACAGAATTATCGTAAGATCCAACAATCTCACTTCTGAGTATATGCCCAGAAGAAACAAAAGCAGGGATTCAAACAGATATTTTAAGAATCTATGTTGGAGAATCAAGAGGGCAGAATAGGGTAAGAACACGTTTAAACGGATGGATATTAGCCAGTGTGAAGCAGAAAGGGCACATTCCAGGAAACAGAGGAGGACAGAACAGCAGCAGAGGGGCACCTGGAGAGTGACAGACACAGGAAAGCAACGGAAACAACGGTGTGGTGTTGCAGTAACTGATACCCCAGTGGCATTTAGACAGTGGTGATCCGAACTGCATCAGCAGCCAGAACTACACTAGCAACAAGGTGGGAAGGGATGTCTATCGGGAGCTTAGGAGGTGAACCAGGACAAAGTTAATACCTGTCCACCTGGTCTGTTTCATTTCACCAGGAGCAGTGACAGAGCAGCAGATCCCAGACAGGTGATGTGGGAACAGGTTGGATTTCACAACCCAGTCTGCCCCCTAGAGCCGTATCAAGTGCCATTTTGTTTAAGGAGCAAGGGCTAAGGACAATACTACACATGCACTAGGCAAGGAGTGAACTCATTTCTGGCTGAGTGAACTGTAACAACTTGGCATCCTACAGGTTCCACCCAAGACAGATTCAGGCAGTCCTTAGATCTGAAGGCCAGCAGATCAAGAAAACTAGTACTGGCACATCAGGCGCCATTTTGTACAGTGTAGTAAAGAATTTAACATTACAGGGACAACAGTGAGCTGCACATGCGCTGAGCTCGGGGAGAACTCACTGAGCTCAGTGCATTGCACTGGTCCCAAGGAAAATAACATGCACTACTGCATCATAGGCTCTCAAAACTAACAGCCAACAAGTTCTGGCAAGATCAGCACCAACAATAATCCAGCTATATAGGACACCTGGTGTCTCCCTAATCCTGGGACCTGCTCCATCCTCAGCTGGGAGAAATGCTGTACAGACAACGCTACAGTACCAGCACAGGATCACAGGAGGTGGAGAGAGTAGAGCCAGAAGCTGCGGCTAGGGAGACTATGGTGGAAATCTAACATAAGAACCAGACCTGGAACTCGCTGGAGGGAGTGGCACAAGTGACTATAATCAAAGAGCCGTGTACCAACTGCAATAAGGAAAATCAAACTGTAGACCTGTGGGTGACATAGCTTAGAAACCGGCCTCCAAAGAGAGAATGTGCTAACCAGAAGTACAATGACCAAGAGCAAAAGAAGAGACAAAGGGACAATGAGTATTACTGAAGACTCTCCTGCAAAGGAACAAAAGCCGTTGCCAACCTCAGAATTAGCTGAAGAATATATCAAGAAACTGGGGATACAGAATTCAAAACACTTGTTATAAAACTTCTTATCAACAACGAGAAGCATGTAAAGCAGGCATTCAAAGAATTTAAGGAATACATCACACAGGAAATGAATCAAATGAAAGCTGATATTTCAGAAATGAAGAATACAGTGGAGCCACTTAAAAGTATAGTGGAGAGTCTCCAAAATAGAATAAAGGAAGGAGAAGAAAGAATCTCACAATTGGAAGATATTTCCTGTCACCATGGGAAAACAAACAAAAAGCTAGAAGCAGAACTGGGTCAAGCTAAAAAAAAGTATGCAAGAATGAAAGATACCATTAAAAGGCCAAATATAAGAGTTAATGAGAGTCCCAAAAGATGCAGAAACAGACACTGTGTTTGCAAATGTATTTATTTAATGAAATAATAAGGGAAAAATTTCCTTATCTAGTGAAAGAATTGGGAAACAATATCCAGGAGGGGCACAGAACTCACAACAGGGTTGACCAAAAGCAATCATCACCAAGACACATGATAATCAAGCTCTCTTCAATAAAATATAAGGAAAAGATCCTTAAATGTGTATGTGAAAAAAAAAATCAACTGACATGTAAAGGAATGCCAATTAAACTCACAGGAACCCGCTCACTGGAAACGCTACAGGCAAGAAGAGAATGGAGCGACACATTCCAGATTCTAAACGAAAAACTGTCGGCCCAGGATAACATGCCCAGCAAAGCTTTCCTTTTTGTTTGAAGATGAAATAAAATTCTTTCACAGTAAAGAAAAGTTAAAAGAATATGACTCTTCCAAACCCGCCCTACAGAGGATACTTAAAGATGTTTTCTTGACAGAAAAAAGAATAGTGCACACCAAAACCAAAGGCAAATGTGGAGAATATCCCAGTAAAATAACCACAGAAGACTAAGTCAATGAACAACTCATTGCTAAAATGACAGGACCAAATTACAACCCATTCATATAAACGAATATTAATGGTTTAAACTCATCAATCAAATCTCATAGAATAGTAGACTGGATTAAAAAAACCAAACCCATCTATTTGTTGCCTACATGAGACATATCAAAGATTAGCTGTAACTATATCTCATTGATTTTGCTGATTTTTTTTTTGTTTCACCTCTTCCTCATTAAATTCTTTAATGACTCATATCAGAGCAGCATATTTTCTTCAAGAAGGTTCATGATTTTCTTGTTCATTTTTTCAGCGACACATTAGTCATTCAGTAGCATGTTATTTAACTTCATGGTGTTGATAATTTTTTTCTTCCTATTGTTTATTTTGTGTAATGGAGACTATCATATCCAAATGTGAGGATACAATGCAGTATGCATCTCTACTTCCAGACAAAAATGTACTCTCAATGAAAATGTTAACTATATCTTGGAAGATGCTGGACTCTCTACCATTGTCC